ATAGGGCAACTGTCCTCAAAGTGTGGTCTGTGAACCCTTCGGTGTCACTGAGACCCTGTCAGAGGGTCCACAATATCAAAACTGTCTTCATCATAATACTAAAATATTTTTTTAAAAAATACAATGACTTTATTTCCACTTCCCAATATCGCATCTTCATTAAACACAAAAATATTTCAAGAAAGCATGTCCCAAGACAGTACATATAAGCAATAGTTTGGCAGAATTTTATCAACTCTAGTAGTTCATACCCCAAAAAACTAAGTTTTAAAATTCAAAAATAACCATTTTATTTAACATGTTACACCTTATCATTTAAATATTTCAGCAACACTGTATACAAATAAAATATTACACAAAATATATTTAAGAAAATGTTTGGTCTTTGATCTGAACAATAAATAAAAACACAGGCAATTCTACACTGAGACAAGGAAGCAATCACTACTCAGAATAATTATCTTGGCCGGGCGCGGTGGCTCACGCCTGTAATCCTAGCTCTCTGGGAGGCCGAGGCGGGCGGATTGCTCAACGTCAGGAGTTCAAAACCAGCCTGAGCAAGAGCGAGACCTCGTCTCTACTATAAATAGAAAGAAACTAATTGGCCAACTGATATATATATAAAAAATTAGCCGGGCATAGTGGCGCATGCCTGTAGTCCCAGCTACTCGGGAGGCTGAGACAGAAGGATCGCTCGAGCCCAGGAGTTTGAGGTTGCTGTGAGCTAGGCTGACGCCACGGCACTCACTCTAGCCTGGGCAACAAAGCGAGACTCTGTCTCAAAAAAAAAAAAAAAAAAAGAATAATTATCTTTTATAAGCAACATGTGAAAATATGGCAATCATAAAACCTGGAATTTAAACTGACAAGTCACTTATGAAAAGGTCTGCAACTTCAATCTTTTCACTCAAGTCAAAAATTACATTACACTTCCTGGTCCACAGTGAAATTCACAAACCCAATAAGGTTGTCAGGGGCAATTCAATCTTCAGTTGGCCATCATGGAATCATACTCATTATTTTCAAATGCTAAAATCAGATAACTATTATGATACCACCCAACAAACCAATTACGAGAAAATTAAACTCTTTTTCTTATTCTGACCATACGACCACAAGATAAATTAGATGAGTGTCACATAGTGATTCTCATTTTGCAAAATTAACTAATTAGATCAACACAAGAAAATACTGTTGGGGTGGCAGAAAAATTCCACAACAGTCAATTTTCTAGACAATTTAAAAAATTTGCCCAAATCTCATGAAAATAAATGTAATTCCATTTCACAAAAACCACTGATGGTTTTTGTGAAACTCTTTGTAGTCAGTAAGTTTATAAACACGTGATTTTGTCTGATAAATCAGTCATCATAATGGGAGGTAGGAATAGTAACACTTAGAAGGGCAAAATAAAAATAACTTTAAAATGGTCAAATTCTAGAAACTTACAATATCAGATGAGAAGGGGAGACCCAATGACCACAAGCCCGTAGAAAGGATCAAAACCCATGGTCCTGCCATTATTATTCATAAAACATTATCATTTTCTGGTTTCCTTCTTCACAAAAGTACCAGATGGAAGCGTTTAGAAGCCCTCAAATGGATACTACTTACAAAGGCCATTTTGATGGTTTAACATAGAAACTACCCTAAATGCGAGAACCCAACTTCGGACTATTCAAAATATGCCTTTCTATGCAAACTTTAGTATGTATATCTTAGCATTTTAAATGAGCACTTTGCAACCCAGACCAAATGCCAATCATCTCTCGAGGCTGCCTCCTGAGTACTAGCATCAGATCTACCCGGGAACAAGTGTTACTCTTGTTTTTCTCCTCCGCCTCAAACGTCCCGAAGCCCGCGTTTCTGTGGAGGGAGGCCGAGCCTCCGAAGGCACCGGCCGGCGTAGACGCCATCCAGGGGCGGGGCCGGCCGGCGGCCGGAGTGCGGGCCCCCCCGCACGGTGCGCGCACGCGGAGCAAGGACTTCCGGGTGCGCTGCTTCCTCTCCCCTCCCGGTGGGGCCCAGCACTGGGGTCCCAGCGCCTGGGGACAGACCTGCGGCGCTGCTCTCGGAGGAGCGGTGCGGGTAACTCAGGACGCGGCGGGTGTCGGCAAACGCACCGCGGCGCCCCGAGGGCGGGCGCGTGGGAGGACGCACTGGCCGCGAGGAGCGGCGGCGGGGGAGGGCGTCTGGGCGGCGCCGCACGAGCGTCTGGGCGGTCCACGTCCTCGCCCTGACGGTCAGCGAGTGCGGCGGGCGCTGGTCTCCCGGCGGCCTGCCCGGGGAAGACGCGCCGCGGCGTCCCCGCCGCCCATCCCCGTGCCCGCCCGTCCCCGCCGCCGCCGCCCGTCCCCATCCCCGTCCCCGCCGCCCGTCCCCATCCCCGTCCCCGCCGCCCGTCCCCGTGCCCGCCCGTCCCCGTCCCCGCCGCCCGTCCCCATCCCCGTCCCCGCCGCCCATCCCCGTCCCCGTCCCCGCCGCCCGTCCCCATCCCCGTCCCCGCCGCCCGTCCCCGTCCCCGCCGCCCGTCCTCTGGCAGAGCGTGCGGCGAGGGGCTTCGCTGCCAGCAGCGAGGACGGGTTCTTTGCACACTAGTGTGGCCGGTCCACGAGCGGCGAGTGGGCGCGGCGCCTCAAGTACCGAGGAAGGCTTCCATCCGTCCCGCAGGCTGTCACACCTGTGACGCCCGCGACCCTCCGGCCGGGTTCACGGTCACTGGGGCGCTCGCGTTGGCGAACCACGCCCGCGCCTGCCTGTTCAGCCCTTCTCGCTCTGTCAGCGCGCCCGAGGGCGGCATCTTCCGCAACCTCCCTCTGGGCAGCATCGCTCCCCTTCCGTGTTTTCCTTGCTGCTGCTTTTGGAGACGTCCACAGTCAGACACATGAAGCCGTTTGCCGTCGGCGGGAGACGCAGGGCTCTATTCTTCCTCGTCCACCCCTCGCGTCTGTGTCTCGGCGGGCGCAGTCCCGCTCGGCGGGCGCAGGGGCGGGGAGGGTCCCGGCCGCTCCGCGCGGCTCAGCCCGCGCCCGCGCCACTCGCCCCCCACCCCGGGAACAGGACTGCAGGCCCCGGCCCTTCCCCGTTGTCCAGCCCCCCCCCGCGCCCTCCCGCGCTGCTGCCGCCCTGTGCGCCGCGCCCCGCCAGGATACTAAAATGCCCTCGGGCGCCCTTTCACTGGGCGACGTTGTGCTGATTGTGCAAAAGCAATGTGCATGCGGCGGTAATTTATGTGCCACTTGGCTGGGTCACAGGGTGCCCAGGGATTGAGTCAAACCTTATTCTGGGCGTTTCTGCGAAGGTGTTTTAGGTAAGATTAAGGTTTAAGTCTGTAGAATTTTTTTACTGTGGTATAGATATATAATGTGAAATCTACCCCCAAGTTTTTAAGTGTGCAATAGAACGTTGCTGATTGTGTGCACATTGCTGAGCAGTAGAGCCCAGAAGTTTTTCATCTTGAGTGACAGAAACTTATCTGTTGAATAGCACTGCCCATTTTCCCTCCCCTAAGGCCCTGGCAACCACCATTGTACTCTCTGCTGGTATGAGTTTGACCACATTAAATAGCTCATAAATGTGGTATCATACAGAATTTGTCTTTCTGTGACAAATTTATTTCACTAAGCATAATGTCCTTAAGGGTCATCCATGTTGTAGCATATGACAAAATTTCCTCCTTTTTTAAGGTTGAATAATTTCCCATTACATATATAATAATTTTATTATTATATAATAATATCATATATTTAATATAATATATAATAATAGTCATATATTATATAATGTATAATACAATAATATTGTATATAATTTCCCACATATTATATATTATATATTATATATGTAATATAATATATAATTATAATTATGTTATATATAATATAATAATATATATAATAATTTCCCATATATATGGATGTGTGTCTGTATATATGTGTGTGTCTATATATATTTGTGTGTGTGTATATATATATATATATATCGCATTTTTAAAGTGCATTTAGCCATTGATGAACATTTAGATTTTTTTCACCACTTGTAGTAAATAATGCTACAAAAGATATGGCAGTGCAAACATCTCCTTGAAATTCTATTTTCAGATATCTTGTATATATGCTCAGAAGCCTGAATGACGGATCATATGGTAATTATCTTTTTTGTTTTTTGAGGAACCTCCATACTGTTTTCCACAGTGGCTTCCCTACTTTACATTTTCAACAAAGGTGCATAGGATTCCAATTTCTCCACATTCTCACCAAGGTATTTAACATATTGTTTTCTGTTTTGTTTTGGCTTTTGATAATTGTCATTCCAATAGGAGTGTTGCTGTCTAGAATCCTTTCATTTCAATGATGAGCTTCCTTCAGCATTTCTTGTAAGGCAGGTAGGTCTAGTGCTGAGGAACTCCCTCAGCTTTTATTTATCTGGGAATATCTTTATTTCTCCCTCATTTTTGAAGAAAAGCTTTGTTGGGTATAATATTTTTAATGTAATACAACATATAAGAATATTATATCTTATATATGCTTTTTTCTTTTTTTAGCATTTTGAATATATCATCTCACTTCTGGATTGCAAGGTTTCTGTTGAGAAATTTGCTGACAGTCTTATGGAGAAGCTCTCTTTCACTTGACAAGTCATTTTTCTCTTGCTGTTTTCAAAATTTTCTCTTTATCTGTGTCTTTTTTTATTATAATGTGTCTGGGTGATGGGTTTTTAGGTTTATCATGTAGAATCCATTAAGTTCCTTCAATCTGGTATCTATTTACTTCTCCCAACTTAGGAAGTTTTCAGCTATTATTTTTTCAGATGAGCTCTGCCTCTCTCTCTCTCTCTCCCCCTCCCCCTTCTTCTTGTTCTGGAACTTCCATAATGTGTGTGTGTGTGTGTATATATATATATATATATATATATATATATATATATATGTCCACTTTATGGTATCTCATAACTCCCTTAGACTTTCTTCACTCTTTTTCCTTTTTTCTCCTCTGACTGGATAATTTTAAATGACTTGTCTTCAAGTTTGCTGATTCTTTCTTTTGCTTGATCAGTTCTGATGTTGAACCCTTTGGTGAATTTTTAATTCAGTCATTGTATTCTTCAGTTCAAAATTTGTTTGGTTCTTTCAGATATTTTCTCTTTCTTGATATTCTCATTTTGTTCGTACGTCATTTTCCTGAACTCATTGAGTACCTTTATGATACTTATTTTGAATTTTTTGTCAAGTAATTCATATACCTGTTTCTTTCCAGTCATTTTCTGGAGATTTACTCCTCTGCCCTTTGGATCATGTCCCCCTATTTCTTCATGTGCCTTGTAACTTTCTGTTGGGATCCACGCATTTAAAAAACCAGACACCTCTCCCAGTCTTTACTGCCTGGCTTTGTAAAGGGAAAGGTCTTTATCAATCAGCCTGGCTAAAGATTCTGACATCCGTCCAAACTTTTTCTATGGAAGCATCTTCTTTGGACTTCAGCATGTAAATCTCCAATTTAGAAGGACTTGCTGTTTTCTTTTTACAGGTACTCGTAATATCTTCTTCCTCTGGTGCCTGTCTGTGTACTGCAGGTTCTCTGGCTCTCTCCTAAACCTCCCAGCTTTCTTTTATCAGCAACTCCCAAGCTTCTCAAGTATGTCAGGTCCTATCAGTGCTCTAACCTATGCAAGACAAAAACCAGTTTTTGGAGCAGCCCCCCAAAAGCTGGACTCTTGGATGCATGCTCCACTCTCCTTCTTCCCACCCTGAGGGAGAGGCCATCAAGGCTCTGTCCACTGTTCCGCTGGGCCCCTGGAGTGGCAGCAAGCTTCTCAGCTCTCTTTTGTTCTTTGTGGCTCCCAGACACCTAGACTGTGCCAGGTCCTGTTAATACTTCAAGACATGTGAGACGCAGACCACTCCCTTGGGCAGCCCTCTCCCAAAGAATCAGAATCTCAGACACATACTTCAACTATTTCTGTCCAGGAAGAAGCCAGGAATTAGGGATTGTATCATGCCCATTCCGCACTAAGCTGGAGGAAAGGATGATGATGGATGAGTGTGTGGCTGTCCCAAACCTCATCTTTCCTTTCAGCAGTCCAGCCTGGCAGCCTTTCCCCCTAGTCTCAGATTCAGGTGAGACAGAAGCTAGTCCCTCGTGCAGCCTACCCTGCAAAAAAGTCAGACCACTGGACATACAATTCAGTCTTCTCTTTCTGTCTCCAGGGAGAAGTGAAGAGTTGGGAGTTTCCTCTCAATTATGGCATGCTGAGCTGGGGACAGGGACTCTGATGGGTAGGCGCCATAAATTTTTCTATAATCTCAATGCAGTTGGTTTTGTGCTTGCTGGCAATACAGGATCCTCTTAGCTGATTTCTGGATTTCTCAAAAAGGGAATTGGTCCATGTATGGTTATTGATTTGGTGTCTCTGTGAGAGGAGGAAGGGTTTGGGGCTTCCTATTCTGCCATGTTGCTGGCCTAAATCAGCGGACTTTGAGTAAAACAGATTGCTATCCATAATGTGAGTGGGCCTCATCTAAATGGAACTAAAAGACTTGCCACTCCTAAGCAAGGGAGGGAATCTTTCAGCAGACCACCATTGGTCTTCATCTGCAACTGTAGTTCTTCCTGTTTCTAGCAGATTTCATTCTACTGGAACTCAGCACTGGCTCCCCTGGGTCTCCAGCCTTCTGGCTGACCCTGCAGACTTTTGACTTGTCAGCTTCCACAAGGATTAATATACTAGCCAATTGCTTACAATGAATCTCCTTATATGTGGGTGTATGCATACGTACAAATCAAGGCAGCAGCATCACACTCTACTAATAGTTTTTAAACTCTTCCCTGCCGCACATTTAAAATAACAATAAAAAACTGCTTTCGCTTGAGAATATCTTTCATGAAACAGAAAATATATTGATTTTATTAAATTTTGACCCTCAAGTACACATCTTTTTAATACTCTGTGGCAATGAGAAGTGCGTCTAAGGCACTCTTGCTGCCTCTGAAGTATAATGGTTGACTCAAGGAAAAGCACTTCTGCAATGGAGTTGCAAACTGAACTAGCTACTTTTCTTCATGGAATGCCATCTTTTTTGAAAGAATAACTGAATAACTTGCAGACTAATTATGGTTATTCAGACTTTGGCCTTTGGTAGACATTATCTTGAAAATGAGTGAAGTTAGCCTGTCACTTGAAGGAAATGACTGACAGTACTTTTTGGCAATGATAAAATTCAAGCTTTAAGACAGTGGATAAAATTTTGAAAACTTTGTTTGTCAGTGTGAGTTTGTCATCTCACTAATAATTAAACTTTGATGAGATCAGCAGTGATAATAATGAATGCGACATTTTGATGGTGTATAATGAAATGTGTCAGCATTTTAGAAGATCTGCATGATTCTATGAACCAATACAAAACCATGTATTGGTAAAATGTATGGCTCTCCCCCATTCAAAGTGGCAGATAGGCGGGTAGATCTTAATACAGCAGAAGGCAAACAGTGCAATGATATGGTCATAGTAATAGGTTCCACATTGCAACGAGCCTTTAAGTAACTGACTTGTACACTTTTGATGCAGTATCAAAAGAGAATATCTGTGATTGTTTGAAAAGGCTTTTGAAATACTCCTCCCTTTTCTAACTACATATCTCTAGTCTTCGAACACTTCATCCAAACAACATATCACAACCTATTGATTGCAGAAGCAAATCGGAAAATTCAGATTGATTTTTAAGCCAAACCTTTAAGAGACTTGAAAATTTTAAAATAATGCTACTCTCTCCACTAAATTTTTGCTTGTTTTGGATAAAAGTTATTTTTATTTTTTTTTTTTTGCAATCACACAAGAGGAGGTTTATTTTCTGGCTAGATAAAAGTTATTTTTAATAAAAATATATTATTTACACACATAATGGGCTTATTATTGCTATTTTTAAAGTGAATTAATAAATATTTAAAGCATTTATTTCTTTTGATTTCAAAATGTTGGCAGATATAAGCCACAAACAAAATCTCTTTGGTGTCCTCGATACTTTTGAAGAATATTAAGGGGTCTCGAGACCAAAAGTTTGCCACAGTGTGATTGACTGGGCAGTTTCATCCGAGGAGCCCAGCGGTCCATGAGCATGTGTCCTTTCTCTTGGGCTGTGTGATCTGTAGCATTATTTGTCCATACATTTCCATTTTTCTGCCTATTTTTGCCAGGCCCTGGGGAGAAGTGTACTTCCCTGTCTGGTGGGGCAGCGCTTGCCTGGGGACTTGCTTGGGCCCTTGGAACGTGAACAGCTGCGATTGGAGCAGAGCCTTTAAAAACGCTGCGTGTGTCCCTCAGTTTGCCCTCTTGTCCTCTGTCACTCACCACAGGAACACGAGCCAAGTAGCCACTAGTCCCAGATGACCAGATCCGTAAGGAAGACGTCAACCTGAACTGCAGTCCGAGCCCCCGTGAGCTCAGCTGAGATGAGCTGAAGCCCCGTCAACCTGCAGACCCGCGAGTGTGAAAAATCAGTGTCTGTGGTTGTAAACCAGGAAGGGCTGGGATCAGTACACAGTCTTGTTGCAACAGAAACCTCCTCACTCAGGTCCAGAGAGGACTTCCACAGTCTCCTGCCTCGTGGCTGTGGGTGGGTTCGTGGGGCAAGGCGGCCGGCGGGGGGCGAGGCCTGACGGGGGGAGAGGCCTGACGGGGGGAGAGGCCTGACGGGGGGCGAGGCCTGACGGGCGCCCTCAGCATGGAGCGTGCGGACGTGCACCTCCTCCCTTGTGCCGAGTTTCGTCCTCCTACCTGCACCTGTGCCTGGCGCCCGGGCCGAGTCCCTCTGGCCGACCCTCAGGGCTGTGCGTGGTGGAGGAGAGTCCGGGCAGTGTCTGTCGACGGGCCTCCAGCCAGGCTCCGGGCTCAGTCCACGCTGCAGCTCGCCAGTAGGAGGCGCTGGGGCGTTCTAATTAATGGCTGTTTCCAGCGTCCTGTCAGGCACGTTGGCTGCCTCTGGGCCTTTGCCATGGCCTGTGTGGATTTCTGCCCTCTCTGGTCTGCTGAGTCAGTGACCTGATACTGATCTACTTTTCAGCTTCCAGAATTTGTTGCCTGTCCTTTTCTCTCGAATTCCCCTTTTCTTTGTGAATTTAAATTTGTCATCACTTTGTCGTCTTGCGGCGTCTATCGTGAAGGTGAACATGTGTGCCCGAGATACAAGTTCACCCGGGTATCTCCAGAGTGGCCTTTTCACGCATCACACAATTCACCGACTGAGAGTGTACAGTTCAGTGCCTTAAGTATAGTATGTTCACAGAGATGTGCAACCAGCACCACGATCTGACTTTAGGATATTTTCACCACCTCCTACAGAAACCCTGGCCCTTAGCCATCACTCCTCAACCTCCTCCCCCTCCCCCAGACCTAAGCAGCCATGAAGCAACTTTGCAGCTCTACAGATCTGGCTCTTCTGCTCCTTTTATATAAATGGAATCATATGATACGTGGCCTTTTGTGGTTGGCTTTTTCACCGAGCATAATGTTTTGAAGGTTCATTCCATGCTGTAGCATACGCCAGTACTTCATTCCCCTTTATGGTTGTATAATATTCCACTGTGTGGACATACCATATATTGTTTATCCATTCATCGGTTGATGGACAAAGTGACCTTTTTAAAACAGTAAATCTGATCATGTCACTCCCTTTCACAAAATCCTCCAATGCACTGATAATAAAATTGTCACTACAGCCAGGCCTTACAAACACTGGCCCCTGTCCACCTTTCTGACCTCCTTCACTGTGTCTCCCCCATTACACACCCATCACACTCGTCTTCTGTTCTGTTCCTTGAAACTCCAAAGTTTAGTCCTACCGCAGGGCCTTTGCACTTGCTTTTTCTTCTGACCAGAGTGCTCTTCCCTCAAATAGCTTTCCCTTTCCCAATCTTCTTTTTCTATCCTCTGAGAGGCCTTTCTTTATGCTATTTTATTTATTTACTTTTTTTAGAGGCAGGACCTTGGTATACTGACCGGGCTGGCCTTGAACTCTTGGGCTCAAAGTATCCTCCCACCTGAGCCTCCCGAGTGGCTGGGACTATGGGCTTGTGCCACTACACCTGCCCTTCTGAGCAGCCTTTCCACATGCTCTACCCAAAACACCGTACTTCTCCGGCTCCACCCTTTAAATTTCCCTTCTAGTCCTCATGTCTGCCCGCTGGCACCTAGTCTTCCCGTTTCTTCTCTTGCCTCTGCGCTGTGAGCTTCACGAGGGCAGGTGCTTGCTGACACCTTCACTGCTGCATGGAGTGGGCCTGGCACACGGCGAGTGCTCGGTAAACCTGTGTTAACGTTTGTAAGGCCTGGCTGAGTGACAATTTTATTATCAGTGCATTGGAGGATTTTGTGAAAGGAGTGACATGATCAGATTTACTGTTTTAAAAAGGTCACTTTGTCCATCTAACCGATGAATGGATAACACAATATATGGTATGTCCACACAGTGGATATTATCAACCATAAAGGGAATGAGTACTGGCGTATGCTAAGCATGGAATGAACCTTCAAACATTATGCTCGGTGAAAAGCCAACCCAAAAGGCCACGTATCATATGATTCCATTTATATAAAAGGAGCAGAAGAGCCAGATCTGTAGAGCTGCAAAGTTGCTTCATGGCTGCTTAGGTCTGGGGAGGGGGAGGAGGTTGAGGAGTGATGGCTAAGGGCCAGGGTTTCTGTAGGAGGTGGTGAAATATTCCTAAAGTCAGATCGTGGTGCTGGTTGCACATCTCTGTGAACATACTATACTTAAGGCACTGAACTCGTACAATC